CCCTTCCTTTTGTGATCATAATACCCCAGTACTTTCAAAATGGATGAAACCCGTTCCTTGCCCTTCCTCTGTTATTTATTGATGAGAAACAATTAGGAGGATAATCTAAATCCCTGAATAGCTTTACGTTACGCTCTCTCGCATATGTCATTCCAACTTTTGTGACTCCGGGTGCTAATCATGCTTTGGTTCAATGTTCGAGCATCCGGCGGTTGGGTGCTTCTTCCTTGAGACATGTCACACTTCTCATGGTGCAGTCCTCTATGCTTTTATTTGTATAAATATTTTATCATTTTGGAGAATCACGTAAGAATCTGCCAGCTGCATTCAATCCATCCATTCTCAGGAAGCACCTGTCTGCCATTTTCCCATCAGCGACATATCCGCTACGTCTCTGACAATGTCTCTCAGCGAATGCTGCTCCGGCACCTGATGGAAGTAGATTTTGACAAGGGAAATCTGGGAGGGTAATACGGAAAGGCAATGGTTAGAATAATAACGTCTAATATTAACCCAGTTTTCTGCCCTGAGAGTGAGGTCTATTATTCGTACCGTAGATTACTACTTCCGGGCGATATGCCTTTTTGCGACCTAGGCTGCTTGACGGTAATTACCACAGCTACTATAAGAATACTCCAAGTAAGATATCCAAGCGAACGTGCTCTGGTTGAAAGCAATATCAATGAACATGAATATCATCATCTTCTCCCAGCCAATAAATATCGACCTCGGTTCGAAGTTGGTAAGCAGCGCCTGTGATTGGCCAACCAGCCGCAGTCAGGGTCCGGGGAATGTCTTGGCACTAAAATTTCTGGACACTTCGCATATTCGAAACCGACGACGAACTGTTCCTGTTCTCAGTCTTTAAACTCTCCTAACGCCCCAGAATCAAGTCGCTCTTTCAATTGAATTAGTTATAGCTATTCCCGCTTCACCATTTAAAGAATAAAAGCAGCTCGCGGCAGAAGTTTCGCGACTCAAGTATTAGCTCGCATTATGTCGTTCTCCTCCCTGGTTGCGGACATTGCATTCCGAGATGGGAATCGTGATGATTGCAGCACGTTGACTTCTCAAGGCTTGACATCCCAAATAGGCGGCGCACGCTCATATGTTAGCACTGCGGCGACCAGCGTGAGCATATCGGGTGACATCTCCAGCCAGCTTCATGCAGGCTACAGCCATCCCCTCAACAGGACGTGGCAGGCCGAACGGCAGTTAACAAAGGTGAGGAGCATGTTTTCCCTCCAAATGAATACATAAATGAATACGGAATATTCTTTTTAACATATATACTGTTGCCATTGCTCCAGTCCATGCTTATCTATCCCCTTTTCATTACCGACAACCCCGATGAAGAAACACCAATTCCCTCCTTACCAAACCAACACCGCCGTGGGGTCAACCGTCTCATCCCATTCCTTACACCCCTTGTACAAAAGGGTCTACGATCCGTAATCGTCTTCGGTGTCCCCTTAGCCCCCAACACAAAAGATGCCCTTGGGACGTCTGCAGACGACCCTAGCGGACCTGTCATCCAAGCCATCCGTCTTATCCGCTTCCACTTCCCAGACATCTACATTGTCGCCGACGTCTGTCTCTGTGAATACACCTCCCACGGCCACTGCGGCATCCTCCGCGATGACGGCACCCTCAACAACGCCCTCTCCATCGACCGCATCTCTGACGTTGCTCTCGCCTACGCCGAAGCAGGCGCCCACTGCGTCGCGCCCTCAGACATGAACGACGGCCGCGTGCGAGCCATCAAGCTCAAGCTCATCGAAGCCGGCATTGCTCACCGCGTTCTCCTGATGTCCTACAGCGCAAAGTTCAGCGGGTGTTTGTACGGCCCCTTCCGCGAAGCTGCGGGCTCCTGCCCGAGCTTCGGAGATCGCAAATGCTACCAACTGCCACCAGGTGGTCGCGGGCTGGCTCGCCGCGCCATCCAACGCGATATCGCAGAGGGCGCGGATATCATCATGGTAAAACCTGCCAGCAGCTACCTGGACATCATCCGCGATGCGAAGGAGCTGGGCAAGGACATGCCAGTGGCGGCGTACCAGGTGAGCGGGGAGTACGCTATGATCCACGCGGCGGCGAAGGCGGGTGTGTTTGATTTGAAGTCGATGGCGATTGAAAGTACTGAGGGGATTCTGAGGAGCGTGGGGCGGGGATTGTGATAAGTTACTTTGTGCCGGAGTTTTAGACTGCCTTTCCAATGAGAGACAGTTCATAACAGCATGTCCTCGAGTCTCTGACGCTTGCATTCTTTCACGAATAATTTTTTTTCGGGTGTCGTTTTATGATTCATCGGAGTTGAGGTACTTCTCATCTTTTTTTTTTTTTTTGCTGTGACGTCATTACAGTTATCCACCACTCATCTCCGTTATATTTCATTGAATCCTGGGGAAACAAAATAGGAAAGAATGATTGAATTAATTCGTCTTTTCGTTGCATATGTCATGAGAAAAGGAGACTTGCTCTCATCATTCCTGGACTTCTCCTTCGCCTTTGTTTCCCCAACAAGGACACACTCAGCTACCCAGGCCTGTTTCCAAAGGCGCGTCTCTGCACTGTACGCAGCCTTGGGCATGCGGAGAATACAAAGCACGTTTTTACGGACGTTGAATAACAAACAAGAAACCAACCGAGTCTCATACGTATCGCTTCGTTCGCAGTCATTGCCCCGCTCACTCGCCCTCCTGCTCTCGTCAATCTCGGTGTGTTCCCTTTTCAAATTCCTTCCACCCCATAATTACGTGGGTGGCAACTCTTTTCAAGGGGAAATGGACCCAGAGATGGACATATGCTTCAGCGAAGGCTCAATCATATATTCCCCACTTATCCCGCAGGATGGTATGATAAATGCACCGGGTCGTGGGCTTCTTATTCCCTCTATTTTTCTTATTTTTTTTATTTTTTATTTATTTATTTATTTATTTATTTTTTTTTTTTTTGCGTCTGCCATTATACCCGCCCTGGACGGGTTCATCACGGATTTTCGGCACTCGTAGAGAGGGGATTTGTGAAGGGGGTCGGTTCTTGTTTTTATTCCGCATATTTTATTTTCATTATTATTTCGGTTGGGAGCAACGCATTTTGAGAAAATGATTGAGACGCATCGAAACGGGAAGAAAAATGTATAACCATGTACAGTACAATAACAAAGCTACGTTTATACCCTATATCAATTTGAAAGCTTTTTTGGCGATGTCAAGAGATCTTTAGTACGAAGTAACTGGTATACTTTTCATCTCCCTGTTCACCCCTTTTTATTAAACAGACATCGTTTAATGTAGCTGTTATCTCCATACGCAGCCTCGACATCACATCATGGGGCAAGATCCACAAGCGGGATTGATCACTACTAACAAACTTGCCTAGACATAAAACTCACCCCCATTCCCATACAATTATACATCGACAGCTCTCTATTCTACGAGGCACTTGTACGGAGTACTCGCATTGACGATTTTCAAGACTCCTCGAGTCAAAGGAGCTTGGGACCGGAAGAG